GTAACACTACACGCTGCTCTCAGCTCCCACGCTACCACTACTATGCGCGCCCTTCTTCAACGACAGGACGTCATGGCAACATACTTGGGTGGCGGATATGTAGAAGTGCGCCGTTGTGTAGCTCTCCCATCTTCTTCGGTGACCGCCGTGCCTTTCAACGGCACCTGTTTCAACCTTCCACAAGTGACGGTTCACCCTACCAACGCACCCAATTGCGAGCCTTCCTTGATCCGGTTACGGGCATAATCCACAGGAGCGCGACCGTTCGTGACTGTGCTGAGGTGGCATCTTTTGTTTTCACAGGACCAGGAGGCATCCAGAAGTTTTCGTCGCTAGACGGCTCGTGGATAACTATCCCTTCCCAGGACATCATCACCTTTCCTTCCCCTTCCCATTTACAGTCTTATCAGTTCATTCCACCCCTCACTATTTTTCATAATCTCGTAATCACTAATCTTAGCGAATCCAACGAATTGCAATTGCAGGAGTTGTGGACGGCGCGGAACCATGAGCGCCTTGCCGAGCATTTCACCCGAGCCGGGACAGCTAAGGAGGGTCCTACGGCGTCCACTGCCCCAGTTGGTAGGGAGTCGCCTGTCGTCGTGCTAGGACAACTGCGCTTCTCGCCGGCATCTGCATTTTCCCTCGCCCTTCGATTCTCTCTATCCGCTTATCTTGCTTTTACCATTTAGTCTTTCGAATTGCATCTTTTGGTCTTCGCCACGTTTCGATGTCGCGTCGCCATTGTTTAGCACAAGGGTCACCCTCTCAGGTTCCTTCCTTTTCAGATAGACTCGTGTATCATGAGTCATGCACCAACTGAAGCAGTCGGCGGGGCTCCAGCCCGCGATCCAGGGGAGCAGTCTTTGACTTCGGGTGAGCCTTCTTTTGACTGCACTGTGAAACCAGCTCATGAGGATCTTCTTATAGGCTCTCAGCCCCCGCCCTCGTTAGAATCAGGTGCTTCTGCCCTACTTTCCGACACTTTATCTACAACACCGTCGTCGTCTTTGGTTACTTCGACTAGTACCAGTACTCCTGCTCCACCAGCACATGCTTCATCGGCTGCAACACAGCCAGTGAGGTCTTCCACTCGAGCAGCTCCAATGAAACCCTGGAAGGCTGCGTTTAACATCTCCTGCACTCCCCTCCGTTTTTCCCCTATCCCTTCATCTATTTCAGCCCCCTCAGCAGCTCTCCAGCATATGTCCCTCGGTTCGGCTCCTCAACCTGCAGAGGATCTCCCGTGTTCGTCGTCTGCACCATCACCTGCTCGCTCTTCGTCAGACCTGTCTGTACGTTTTCGTCCTACTCCACCGGCAGCCTGGCGTTCGTCTTCTGCTTCAACAGACGACTCGACTCCACCTAAACGAGCTCGGACCGTTGCGTACACGACACCTGTCCGGGGCATCCAGCCTTACCCGGATCAGCCACCAGAGCTGGAGCACACTCCTCCTGACTACCATAACCAATTCTCCCACCTACATCCGTGGGGTATTCACGTACGACCCCGGCCGGACCTGCCTAATCTGTCGGAAGACACGGTCACTGCGGATCTTCCACTACATGTCTACCGGCAGATACCTTCTCATGGATACTTCGCTAGCCGTTTCGTCCGATCATTATTCCCACGTTGCTTCAGAGGATTGCCATCGGCGACAAACAGAGTGCCAATTATGGAGATCACAAGGCTGCATGATATCATCGCCTTTCGTCAGCAGGCAGAGCAAATGACGATGGATCTCCTCGATCACCGTTTCGGGACGATTCTGACACCATTGAAGCCCTACCACGGACTGCTCCGGGCGTCCCTCCGTCGGCATTGTTTCCACCGGCACGACAAGGAATCCGTCCGGTCCTCTACCAAGTCGTCTCAAGAACTTATGGTCAAGGAGCGATATTGGAAGCTAAAGACTTCTTCATCCCAGGACCAGACCACCCAGAGCTCCAATGTATTCCTCTGACCCAGTCCTCTGTCAACGTTCTTACCCAGACACGAGGTTTCGACAGGAATCACCTTTCAGTCAAGGACTTCGTTTGGGTAATTTCTCTTCGTCCCACTCCTCGAACGTTACGTAGCTGGGATCGCAGTGCCATATTGGAGCAAGCACGACTTCCACGATCTTCTGTTGTTGAGTCGAAGAACCCATACTTTCTCAGAGTTCACGAATTCCTTTTCGTCACTCCCCCGTGCACTCGAAGAAACGTGCTAGGGATGGTCGTTGACGTCGCTCGACACGGAGACGACCTCAGCTTTGTCAACAACATTCACGTCGCTCTTGAGGGATGTCCAGAGGCAATACGCATCTCTCAGTCGTTATGTGACTTTCCCCTGAACCTGATCGAACGAGAAGACTTTCTGCTGGCCGAAACCAGACCGAATGTATCCTGTGCCATGCGATTTTCGCATTCTCCAATCTCCGTAGCTGCTCAAGAGTTCCTCATCAACGAAGTGCGTCGCTTCCTTCCAGCACACCCAGAAGAAGCCATCCTTCCGTTGCACGTCACTCGACTTCATCAAGAAGACCATCAGTGGATCATGGACCGATTGAGAGAGTTCTCCAACTATGCCAGACACCCTGATGTTGCTCGTCGCCGCATGGGGAAGCTCTTCTCCGTCGCTAGTGCAGCTCTATCAGCTCAGGCTACATTGATGGACGACAAAGCTACCCACACCGTCACAGCAGTTGTCCCCAGCTTAGATGCCTACCGTTACGTCTCCAGTTCGACCTTCTGACGATGCCAACGGAAAGCGGATGGTTACGCTCCCGTTCGGTTAGCGTCTGGGTCATGGACTCTAACACCGTCGTGCGTACCAGAGTCAGCCGTACTGAGTTCTCCATGGACCAGAGGACCATTAGCGTCGAACTTCAATCGGAGCCACGTACCCACCACATCCTTCGTAGAGCCATCCGTCGCTACGGTTCGATGCTTTCCAATGACAGAGAGGCCGAAGTCGACATCTCTCTCCGACTCGGGACGACCTGATTCAGGAACCGATCCAGTATTCGAACTGCTGGCTACTGAGGACTTTGCTAATTCTCTGCGTCGTCCCCCTTCCACCCTTTCTAACACCATTCTGGACACAGTATACGGTAGCCCGATTCGACCGTTCTATGTCAGCTCACTCACTCATCAAGCAGCACCACCTCCGATCTCCGTCCGTCTGCGTGGAACGAGGCTTGATCTCCGGGAAGATCAGGCACGTGCTGTCCAGATGGGAACTGAAAACCGACCGATTCTTGCTGTTCAGGCGGCATATGGAACTGGGAAAACCCTCGTAGCAGCCATCATTGCGGCCCGTCTAGCTACTCCTGGAAACCTCCTCGTCGCTACTGCTACAACAAACGTTGCTGTTGCACACCTTACTGCAACACTGTTAGCTCTTAACGACTACCAGGATCTAAGAGTGCTACGTTTTGTTGCAGACACTTCACTCCAAGAGGGAGCACCAACTACTCCCGTTGACTTGCATCGCGTTCTTATGGACCTTGTGGCCACTTATTCCGACACTTTATCGCAACGCGAGATCTACCAGCTCCGACAGTACTCCCAGGGTCGCCGATCTTCAGGCCTGAAACTACGGTGCATCTCTCGGATCGTGAGAGGGATCAATTTCGTATCGCTGAGTACGATAACTCTGAAGCTACGGAAGACGCTGTGGCCGTCATGCTCAAAGTCAGGTTCCCGACTATCCTGTGTATAACGGTTTCATCACTCCTCCGTGCTACCATGCCGGGTGGCCTCTTTCATGAAGTATTGTCTTGCTGCCGTGTACTTCTAGCCGACGAAGCCTCTCAGATCCCCGAACCGGCCTTCGTCGCCATGACTATTCGCTTGCCTCTTGCAAGACAGATACACGTCGGGGATGTGAATCAGCTGGAGCCACATATTCGCTGCCCACGTTCGACAATGGCGGCCCAACTGGGTGCAAAAGGACTCATGGAACTTCTACTCAACAAAGATGTTCCCTTAGCCCCCCTTGTCACCACCTTCCGTGCCCATCCAGCACTGAACGAGCTCCCAAACATGCTCGTCTACAACGGCACACTCATCAGCGGCAGTCAGCCCCACCAGCGAACTCTTCTTACGGACAAGCTTCAGCTGCCTAACCCCTCGATTCCGTTTGTATTCGTCGATGTCGAAGGAACGTCTAGGATGTCGCACGCTCAATCTCACTCCAACAAAGAGGAGGCCGCCTGCTGCGTCGAAGTAGTCCGTTCTCTGCTACACAAGGATATTCCACCAAGCTCTATTGGCGTGATCACCTTCTATAAGGACCAGCTCCGCCTCCTGAAACACGACGCTGCTCGCTTAGGATTCCAGCTCCACACCGTGGACTCGGTCCAAGGCCGAGAGGTTGATGTGACGATCGTCCTCACGACACGATACACCATCAGGCGAATTTCTGGACGATCCAAAGAGGATGAATGTGGCCGTCACTAGGTGCCGCCACGGTCAGTTTGTTTTAGGTCGCGTTGTGGCGCTACGACGATTGCATAACTGGGATCGCCTCCTTCAATGGGCAACCGCTCGTGACGTCGTCGTCAATCGTTCTGACCTACCCGATATATTCGCGTAATTCTTTTATGTCATCACGAATGTGAGTTTTCCCCATTTCCCATTCTTTTCTTTCTGTTCCTCTTGTGATGCAACGTCCGTGGACGGACGTTCTTGGGTAAATGGGGGGAGGTGTATGAGTTAGGGTTACGTAGAAATCGATTGTAGGTTAAGCTTAGTCACCGTGCTGATGCTTCGATGAGCTTTCTGATTACAGAAGGCGGAGCCGCGACGGAGCGAGGACGATGGGTATTGTAGCCGCCGCCTGGACGCCGACCGTTCGCCGGACCCGACCATTGCCGCCCTCGGACCCGCACGTCTGCTGTACTCAACCTTCACGCTTTTGCTGAACCATCCGATACCAGAAGAGATCTGATATTCATGACGCATATTCCTTGCTAATAAACAGTGAGTGGATATTCGTGTCTGATGGTCTTGGTAGTATTACCACACGTTACTATTGTACATATTCTCATGTCCAAATTTCCGAAATGCCTTGGCTTATATTTATGCTGACCTTAAGAAGCATTGAGGAACCATCGACTATGGCACACAATGTGGTGCGTGGGATTCATCGTACTCATTCTGGACATTCGATCATCATTCAGCAGATCCCAGAAATAAGAAGGGTTATGCAGTCTCCCAGAACCCATCAAGCTGTATAATCCACGGAATTCGAATCAGAAGGGCTGACCTTCGTTCAAGCTGATGAACTCGGAAATATTGGTTTTGCACCATTTCTGCAGCATCCGCCTTGTAACTGACACTTGATTCTTGATAAGTCCAGCCACGATTTTTAAGAGAAAAACCCTAGAATAGCAGAATAGTTCCAATAAGTTCCAAAGTGTGTCCTTGATTACCATCTCTCGTCACCTCTCATGACATTCGGCAAACTGAGTGCGCGAACTACCTGTAAATTCTATCACGCATCATCCTTAGATGGCTCATGGCCGTTGCACAAACACGCCCTCCCCGTCCAAAACTATTGTTTCAGTTAGTCGTGCCTTGCAGCATTCGATTGGTCTACTGATAGTACTCGGATGTACACCAAAACGATGATAATTTTCGCGTGCCAAAAACCCTCAACGTCGAAGTCCAATGATTTAGGGACGGTGTCAGTATCAGTCAACCGCTGCAGCTACCATAGATTTTGGTGGTTGAACAAGGTAAGCATAAACAATTCTACACCACAGTACCAAAACTAGGGCAGAAGAAAAGAGCATCTGTGAATGTCGGTTCAAATTGTATGCTCGTGTTTTGTCGCTACAATTTTCGCGCACCCTGTATTTGTTTCGGACAGAAGGTTGCAGAATAATTTTCAAAAACCCTGCAAGCAGAATTTAGTGGCAAGAAACTTCTCCGACAACCTTGTATTGTGCCCACCCTCATAGAGCAAACTACAGCAGCTTCTCTTTCCGCTGTCTTGCGCCGACATCGGTTCGTTTCGATGGAAACTGTTCATTCTGTAGGAAGAGCCAATGCAAGCTGTGCACATCCGATGGTGCAGCACCAGGAATGCTATTACCCACATTCCTCAATAGCACTATTCAACCTCGATTAACCATGAGTTCAAGGAGTGGAATTTCAAGCGAGATGTTGGGAAAAAGGTAGTAACTCCCCAGGGAAGTTTCTGGAAGCGTTTGATCATCCATTCTCACTGTTACCTAGTAAAGGCTGATGCTGTATGCGTCCATATCCTGGATTCATTTTGAATTCTCTATGCTGTCTCGGGGAGAGTGGGCCAAAGTTTTCAGAGGTGAAGAAAGACGTGCAACAGGAAAATCCTTTATAGGAACCGTTTCGTGACAACTGGAGTTGATGTAACCTCCTGAAATGTTACGGTTTTTATCACTGCGCACTTTCTGATTGAACAGTATTCACTTTCTGATTCTGACATCACAGTTGATACATTACAGCTTTCGAGAACATTCAGGAAAACATTTGTATGGTTTTAGCATTTCTGTGGCTTTAGGCGCCTGTAGCACACATCAAGACCTGCTCTTAATCTAGCATAAGTTTCATTAGAACAATGGTGTCGTGAATGAACGAAGTGAGTAATGTTGATTTTCGGCAGTTTATTGGTTCGGTCACCCTGCTTGCTTCGTTGCGCATTGGTTTCCATCTTCTTACAGGGCCTCGACCGTCGAGATACGAGGCTGTGTTCTGCGCACAGGGGTGTCCACAATTGGTTTTCGCAGGACACTAGCACGGTGTTATTCTTCATCACTTTGTTATTTGTGCTCTAATCTGATTATTGTCTCTATTTCTGTATGTTTGATGAATGTATAGCATTTTAGCAAATTTTAGCGGGACTTGACGAATTCATTTCTGATATCTTATTGCGACAATGTGCGATGTACCAATCTAGTTTACATATTCGGTATTATATCTTACACTCATGGATATTTACTTCAAATCCACAATTTCCTCAATCGATTCTCTGTTGGATAGTTTTCTAGAGACATTAGCTCTAACTATGCCCCCCCCCCACAAACCCCCTCAGAGCCCGCCCTCCAGAGAACGTAATCGTACACGATCCGTCGAGGACCCCATTGAGCTCGACCGGTGCAACATATTTCCGGCACATTTTTTGTCTTATACATAGGAAGACGTGTTTTTTTTTTCCAATGAATGGAATTCAATGGGAAAAAACTCATAAGTGAGTCATTCATGAAACAGCATCATTCAATTTGGTTTTGCAACGTGCGATAAAATCCATTTGAACATGAAGGGCAAATTTTTTTTTATTGGCACCCTGTATGGTCAGCAAGGCCGGCTTGCCCTTCTTATAGAAGGGCATAATTTCACCGAAGTACATTCCAATACTCGTATTTTCACTACTTTAATAACATAGGAATGATGACACTTGCGTTGTCTTTTTTTCTCTTAGTAACAGTTCATGTTTATTCTCCTCCTCTCACCACCTCTCACAAGAGAGGTCTTTCGGTCCCCTCATGGAGATAAAAAAGGTCGAAAAAATATTTGAGAATGGGTTTCTACAGCCTTTGGCAGTGACGTTTTCGGATAGTCAGAGATCACCTTCAGAAGATGGTATCGAAGACATGGTGAAATTCGCCAAAAGGTGAAGTACTGTCAGTGGTAATGCTGGAAAAAAATGAAGAGTTTTTATAAGAGTCGTCGGCACCCTTCCATTAGCAGTGGTCTGGAGGATGAGGGGATAGCGTGATGGACTCGAAGTAAGGGTCTTTGTGGTTCGACTCCGCTCTTTAGCAAAGTTTTTGCATTTTCGATTGTCACCTCCAAATGAGCGCCAAATTGCTTCAGCGTCAAATTTAACGCTATATTCACAATCAGGACCATCAGCAGCCCCTGCCAATGGGTTTACTATCAAAAACTGGCAGAATAAATCTGTAGCGCCAAGCTAAAGCCAAAAAATAACGTCATATCCAAGGTCAGCGCCCCGATTTATCCCTAGGCTAAATTTCGACGGTGTCGAGATTTTGACCAAAGGCCCTACGAGTGGAGGAGCCGAGGACCCAACATATCACGTCTTGAAAAAAGGGAAGAATCTGTCGACTTCAACTCATGCGGGTGCTGTTTCCCATCACCAGCTTGGCTGCCTGCCACTATCTATTCTGTAGTGGAATTTCTTATTATTGGAGAGGATTACGAGGAAACTCATTTTCCAATCGCTGGCTGGAGTACCCATGGCTACTGACCGACCTGTCGATGGCCAATTTTTCGGAACTGGCTCAAAATCTCAATTTTTTCTAAAACTTCTACTTTGAGGAATATCTAATGCTCTGATCACGAATATGACATTTATTTTTCCAGACGGCTCCAATTTACGCCACTTCGGCACCATTTGGCGCCCTTCTGGTGTTACAACTTTTTTCCGCCATATTCCAGTTGAAATCTGAGTTCAATAATTACTGATGGCCCTGATAACGGAAAATGGGCCTTGGTTCTGTAGCCTGCGCATGAGTTCCTATAACATGCAAAACACCGTTTTGAAAAAGCGCGGCTTGCCCTGAACGACCTCCTGTCAGGGATCGAGAACTTCGATTGGACACTGTAACAACTGGTGCACGGATAACGGAATACGAAGGAATACACTGATCCAGGGTGAATATCGGTCGAGGAAATCCTTGATTGGGGGTCGTGTTTGTCAGGGTGGGTCATGGT